CCAGCTTTAGCGGCATCAAAATTTGTAAATTGAAATACTTCATACGACGAAAGAAAAAGGGCTTCTAGGGTTCGTTTCATTCGGACGTTACTTCCCCCAAGCTCTCGGTTTAATGTAAAGCCGTATCTCACAATTTTTTTCCGATCGGTTCCTTTCCCCGTCTGATAATCTCCGTCTTTTTCTCGGTTTTGCTTCCAGTTGAGCTCTTCGTACCCAGTACCTACATTACTTCCTACCGCGGACTACTTCTTCAGGTACTATCTCCTTCATCCCCCAACCCTAACGCACATATGCATTTTTCACTCCGTTGCACGAGGCTTCGGTCCTCATGTTTGATAACTAGCATGTTGGAGTAAGATTAATGAAGGATTGGAAATTCCAACGTAAAAAATGTGGTGACTGATTCTGTGGAGCAATTTTGTGATTTTGGTGCTTCAAGACTGAGCCCCTTGGTAATTTCTTGGATTTACCACGTTCAAATCTAGCCGGCCGAATTAATGGGCTGTAGTTGTTCAATTTTTCCTTCCTCTACGTCATTGAGTCGGCACTGGTGTATATGGTGTATCATGTGTGATTGTGTAGATGAGGGGATATCTAGGAAGTTTCCATTTAATGTTTTTCTGAGGGAGACGAAAAGAAAAGAAACTCTCACCCGTCTCAGATGCTAAAAAATGTATTATAACCTTTATCTGAATGACCATAGTGTTAGGTGCCTTGTTCTTGGAAAGTTGAAATAACTGACTTTCTTTTATGTTCTTATCTTTCCTGGAACTCCCATGTATTGTTTACGCACGCCTTAGCATCTAGCCGGGGATGTTTATCTTAGTCATTTGTAAATTTATTGCAGGAGGGTGCTCCGATTGGTACGTTTAGTTTGGAACTGCTATTGTTTTTGAGATTGGACACTTATGTGTCTTGATGATTCCCCTTTTTGTTCTGCCATCGCATTCCCTTAATGTCTAAACTCGACTCGACTCTAAAAATAATCTGGGCCTCTTATTTATAACTTTGGTTGTTCACCTTGCATATTATATATCTCCTGATGTTAGTTCTGGTTTCATATTTACATATGATGCTCCTGCAATTCTAGATTTTCTCGAGGGTCAGCATTTGCCTCCCTTTGGCATTCTGATAATTAAGACTTGAACTCGAAAACATGCTTTGGATTACAAGAGATTCATTTCTTTGCACCACCTTCATTATCTAGTGCTACGAATCTCTTTTACTTGCCCTTCAGTTCTGCTAGTTATGGTATCAATGCCCCTTTAGTAAAGTTCTTTCACAGTGTGACCCTTACATCTCATCTCATTGCACGGGTTCCACTGAATTCATTTCGCTGCAAGTCCTTTTTTGGCCTTTCTTTAGTTTCCTCCTTTCGATATGTGTATAATTCTTCCCAGGAATTCTTCTGGCCTCTGTGCCTTCTTCACAGTTGCCTCACTAGCTTGTTTACTTAGTTCTATAAGATGCCACGAGGAAAGGCAAATTCTTCATCAGTTGCTAAGCCATCTGAACCTGAAAAGCCAACTGAGTCAGATGAGAAGGTTGATCTTGATGAAGAAAATGATCCTGAGGAAACGATGGAAGAAGAAATTGAATATGAAGAAGTAGAAGAGGAGGAGGAAGTGGAAGAGATAGAAGAGGAGGTGGAAGAAGAGGAGGAAGAGGAAGAGGTTGAAGAAGAAGAGGAAGAAGATGATGATGATGCTGATCATGTCCAATGACACTGATGCCATGCAAAACATTAGCAGTGATGAGGCAAAGGTGGAAGATGAGGATGAGAAGAAAAAGCATGCAGAGCTTCTCTCTCTTCCTCCTCATGGGTCTGAAGTCTACATTGGTGGCATTCCTCATGATGCCTCAGGTGAGGATTTGAAGGCTTTTTGTGAATCTATTGGGGAAGTTATGGAGGTAAGCTTATCAATCAATATTTTCATTGACTTTGTCTTCCATGCAAAACACCCTTTAACGCGGAAGTTTGATGGAAAACAGGTTAGGGTTATGAAAGGAAAAGATTCAACAGAAAACAAGGGCTTTGGTTTTGTGACCTTCAAAAGCGTGGAATTGGCTTCTAAGGCGATTGAAGAGCTGAATAATAAACAATTTAAGGTAGTCCAATGTCATCACAGCTAATTCTTCCTTGTCAGGGGAGAGCATGATACAACTTATGCATTTCTAACGTTGCAGACACATGATGTGAAAAATGATCAGTTTTCTTGTTGTCTGTTGACTTTGTCGACTATCAACTTCTCAGGGTAAAAAGATAAAATGCTCATCATCTCAAGCAAAACACCGGCTTTTCATTGGTAATGTTCCTAGAAGCTGGGGAGATGACGATCTAAGGAAGGTTGTAGCTGAGATTGGGCCTGGAGTTTCAACTGTGGAACTAGTTAAGGTATAATGAATCAGAATAATTCCTTTGCTGTTGTCATTCCAGAATGACATTCACTGATCTTCAGACGGGCACATGCACACTTACTGGCACACAGTGATGGTATTTATTTTTTATTGTTTGGATGCCAATTCTTCATTTCAGGACATGAAGCACCCAACAAACAATCGTGGTTTTGCTTTTGTCAACTATTATAATCATGCATGTGCTGAATATTCAAGGAAAAAGATGATGAATCCAAAATTCAAGCTAGGTAACAATGCTCCAACAGTGAGCTGGGCCGACCCTAAAAATGCTGATTCCTCTGCTACATCTCAGGTTTTAAATCTCTTGTTTCATATTTCTTATTTATATACTTGGTGCGGATTGCTCTCTGCACAAATTTAGTGAGTTCTGAAGAGCACGTATGAACAGGTGAGAGCAGTATATGTCAAGAACTTACCTAAGGATGTAACTGGAGATGAACTAAAGAAACTTTTTGAACACCATGGGAAGATTTCAAAGGTGGTTCTGCCACCAGCAAAGGCCGGGCAAGAAAAGAACAGAATTGGCTTTGTGCATTTTGTGGAGAAGTCAAGTGCTATGAAAGCACTTAAAAACACTGAAAGATATGAGTTAAATGGTACATTTTGAACTACTTTTTATCCCTATATGCTTGTTTATAGTTATAAGCATATTCTTCAATGTTGTTGATTATGTTTACTCTGAACTTAGGTCAAGTTTTGGAGTGCTCTTTAGCAAAGCCACAGGTTGATAAGTCTGGAGGATCAAATACACAGAAGTCAGGGTTGCTTCCTGGCTACCCTCCCCATGCTGGTTATAATTTGATTGGAGGTGCCTATGGTGGGCTTGGCACTGGATATGGCGCTGCAGGTCTTGCACAGGTGGCACATGTGCGTTTCCCCCCCTTTCTTTTTAGAGATACTTCTGCTTGTTTGGAGAACTTCATTTGGTTGTCTTTTGGTGTTTTACTTAAGCCACATCTTTTATCTTAAACAGCGAGGATGAGATTATAAATACTAATAGAATCTAAAGCTCTAGAAGTCTCATTCCTCCTTTTACTTTTAGATCACAAGTTCACTATTATTCAATTTTGAATAAATATTATGCTTGTGCTTTGAGTTGAATATTACGTGCAAAAGGTTGTATTTATAATGAGCCATTGATGTTAGGCGACATATATAATCAGTTAGTCTGATATGTCAAATTGTTGCTTCCTTTGCAGCCTATGATACATGGAAGGGGTCCTGCGCCAACTGGAATGGCCATGATGCCCATGCTTTTGCCTGACGGACGAATTGGATATGTCCTGTAAGAAGAATTGTACATTTTTTTGCCGTATCTGATGGTCTCTTCCCCGTTCTTTCACATTTTTAAATATAATCAGAGAGGAAAAACCACAAATTCAAAGGGTGATGTAAAACTGAAATTTCCAGCATTCGGAGTTGCATGTACTAGTGTCTGACATTCTGAGCATTTATTTTTCCTGCGTAGGCAACAACCAGGAATGCAACCACAGACCCCGCCTTCAAATCATAGAGGTGGCAGGAGTGGAGGGGGTGGCAGCAGGAACTTTGGCAGTTCAAGTAAGGGGAGGCACAACAATGCTAGTGGCCAAGGGCGCAGATACCGTCCATATTAGATGGTCTCTGATTTCAAGTTTGCTTGGTGTCTTGGCATCATTAATTTATCCAAGTGTGTTATAACATTGTTTTTATTAACTATACAATTTTGATAGGCTCTGTATTGATTACATAGGATGTAAGGATCTCCTTATAGGAGCTTTGCTCTTTCTGTGTTGATAGTTAATCTTAACTCCGAAGTTCGAACTTCTGTTTTCCCCGTAGAAGGCTTGTAGCAGCTGCTATATAGATTGTACATTGTTTATTAAGATATGCTTTGGATTCCATCTACTAGTGGAGATGATGTGATGAAAGGTTCATCGTGAGTTGGTTATTTTATCCATAAAGTAGGATTTAGTTCGTTTAGATTTATGGGAACAACTTATAGGTTTTGAATTTTATTGCGTGATTTAAAACTTTTTTCCCCTCAAATTTTTGGAACTTGTATAAATGATGAACGATAAACCTCCCTATTAAAGATGAACTGAGTGACCGAAGTCTCACTTTGCAATTTTTTCCTCTCGTTGTGATTTATATGGATAATCACTTATAAGAAAAAATGTCTTATCTTCAATTCTAATTATAAGATTTTAGTTGTAGACTATAAACAAATTCTTATAATTAAGATTAAAAATAACAATTGATTTCAAATGATGGGTTGTGCAGCGTGACTTTCTAAGTTTGTTTAAACAGGATTTTTATGATAAGTTTAAGGCGAGCTTATAAATAGTACTACCTTCCTAATTATAAGACCCAGTTGACTAATTTGAGGAGATTAAAGAAAGAAGTTAAGTTAGTTATTTGTAATAAATAAGTATTGTCTTTCCTCAAAAATCCTTACTAATCAACTACATTGGCTAGGACTACAATTATTAGAAGGACTATTTTGGAAAAAAATACATAAATATGAGAGACAAGTGGATTGGAATCTTATATAAAAGTCAAACAGGGTCTTATATTAAAGAGGTAGTACTATTGAAACACAATTTTAAGCGACAAACTTCTGTGAAAGGAATGGAATCCTCCCAGATTTTTTCCGGACAAAAAGCTTGCTTCGAAATAGTGGAGAAGAAAGGAGAGAAGCTGCTTCCATGCCGAGGGGTGTACCCGTAAAGCACGGGCTTAGCATAAAATGCGACAATTTTTCGTATATGAAATCCAAATTTTAAACCTTAAATAACAGACGCAGTCATGACAATTGCAGCTTCTCTTCGATACTCCCCTAAATTCTCATTTGTTGTCACCACCCTCGTCTTTCTCAGATGACTCATCTTCTAACTTCCTTTTCTTTTTCTCTTCCTTTTCCTTTGACGCACCCGCTTTCTTTCCCGCATTCTTCCTCCTAAACTCTGGTAAGCAACGACGAAAACTCGTAAGGTAGGCTATACTGTCGAACCAACCCAAAAAAAAAGAAAGAGGAAAAGAAAAGAAAAGACCAAGCAATCCCTCTTCAAATAAGCCATTAGCCCAATTTTCATCAACAGCAAGTCATGCTCAGGTTAAGAGGACAAGCACGCAAAAAGGCAAAGCAACCTCAACTGGAGCCAGATAACTGAAAACAAAACGACTTCCTTGATTTCAATGGAAACCAATCACACTCTTTACAGATTTTAAGGGATAATTTACCAAAATAAATCATACCAAATCTTAGAAAATACAATTTCTTCGTCCACAGCAAGTATAGAAAGATTTTGACAGCAAGGAATAGAGCAAGACACGTTACCATAATGTGACACATGAAATTTTGCATGAAGCATCTTGATCAACATAACCGCAGACAGGAAATAAAGTGAGTTGATTTACCTTCGAGAGAAGCCTTTAGGGGTTGGACAAACTCGGAATACTCCGTCTCTTCAAGAGCTTTAAATACATCATCGGCGTTTATTATCTGCCTCCTTGCTTCCTTGCAAATGTCGTTGGCCCTGCTCATCGTTTTAAACCGTATGATTATGAATTGTTTAGAACAAGGTAAAATATGGAACGTGCAGAGCCCTGGTCAATGACAGCATATATCGATACTTATGTCACATATTGCTCAGTTAAACGTGTGAGTTCTCCAAGTGACAAGGATAGTTCCCATCACCCATCCTTTTGCAGTTATTCATCAATAGTCAAATTCACCAGGAAAAAGGGGAAAAAAAAAAAAAGAAACAAAGAAACAAAGAAAGCGTTCAATTTTGAATGGCTCAACTATCATTAAATTATAAATTCAATACTTGATTAACTGCAACGAAAGTAAACAAATCGTACTTTGTCTAATTGACTAAAGAGAAGACGAAGGACTAATACCTTCGAGAAAGATATGAGCGCGAGAGAAAATTTCAACCCGAAACCCTACAGCCCCGCTAAAGAGGAAAGTAAACCGAGCTCAGACTTCAGAGAAGGTAAAAATTAGGGTTCGAAGATAATACTAACGTTGCGGAAAGGTAGTGGATAAAGATGCGCGCACTTTCCGAGAAAGCGAGAAGGGCATCTTTGTGAATGGAAATGTCTCCGTCGGAGCACCGTGAGAGCTCGTCTTTCACCACCCGGCGCACTATAGCCTTGGGCAGCTCCTCCGCCTCCGGCACCACCTTCTCGGTCTCTTTCATGTCTGCGAAAAATGGCGAAGTACAGCTTTGATTGACAATGTTCGATCTCAACGCTCTCTATATACCCGGAGTCTGGATTAGCAAATTCCACTTGTCTTTCCCGCCATTATCTGCCCTAAGACAGGACAAACATGACGTTTGGGCCTTTAATTGGGCTTTTAATCCTCGGGGTTTTAAGGCCCAGTTTCTTTCGATTAAAAGAGGTTTCATGGTTTTTCTCCTGTCGTACAAAAAAAAAAACCATTATTTTAATACAAAAAAAATTGCATTTTCTCTTTTGGACTAAGTTTTACTTTCTGTTGTATGCCTGTGCTCTGGATGCGAGCTGCTTTCAGCCCCGCCAGAGTGACTCGTTAGCGACTAGCTTTTTATTAAGCACAACAATCTTCGTAACGGGAGGCATGTTATTGGATCCTAAATATAAGTAACTTTCGAACATTGGTTAGATTATGAGAAACTAATATCTTCTATTAAAAGCAACGACATTAATACTAATATGACTAGTTTGCATCGGTCACTTTAAAAAAAAAAAATTTTTATAAATAAATAAATGTAACGCCAATAGTTAGATATACACTTGAAGCCAATTCATTAGAAGAATAAGCATGGACTGAATCACTACAAATCATTGCACCTAGCTAGTAAAACTTTCTGGGACGAGAAAGCATAAAACAAAGTGTCAAGCTCACAAGCCACTATAATATATTTTATGGTTCTCCGCGTGCAACAGAACCAACTACCCGAGTGCTTCATACGTATTATTAACCTTCCATAGAATCCCTATACTCCATTTCTAACGTCCACAGCCTATTGGGGCTGCGTCTATTCATGGGAGTGCAGAATTTGCCAACACGTAAAAGCTTTGCTGCTTTTGGAACCTGCAAATTGCAATGATTCAGCAATGTAAGCGAATGACAAAGTTTCCAGAGGCACAGAATACCAATCATGAAGTGATACACCTTCAATAAGTTAGGCAACAACTTTTTTCCCACTCAGCATCGAAATAAGTCTGGGATCCGCTAAATATACGCAAAAAGGAAGAACAAGTTGTATCACAGAGATGAGCTCGTGCAAAACATGGTGTAATAGTATTTTGTTTGAAGTTCTGCGGAAAGAGGGCGGACTCAGGAAAAAGGAAGAAGAAGATCAGGTATGGACGTGGCTAGGTTGGCTGGCTAGCAATCACATTTCTTGCTAAAAATGGATCCATCTGTCAATCTTATCTTTATTTGCACCATGCTGATACAAGGTCCAGTGTCCACCATGTGGAGCCACCAACCCATCCACCCCACTTTTTGTCACTCAATGTTCTGTGTAGAGTTTCCTACACATAACTTTGGTCCCAAAAAAGAGAGTTCAATTACCAAGCAAGGTCGCCTTTGATACGCAACTCTGGAATTCAACACGCTAGGGAAATTTTCTATGAGCCCTTTTGAAGATGGACAAGATCCAATGTGAAAATGCATGGGATGGGACAAACCCCAAGCTTGATCCTACAAAAGCTAATTGGGATCAGACGATCCTGATAGCTTTTTCATCCTCTGATGCAACCTCTTTTTTTTTTTTTTTTTTGGAAACCTTTTTGCATAGCTGAAGTAGACCAGAATAATTTGTTCCCGCATTCGTATTCATGATTTCAATGGGAAGATAAAACAAAGATAAAGAATCATTGCCAGTTTGCCACCACATACCTTTTAATAAATAATGAAAAGGAGGGCTTTTATTCAGGCTCTGGGTGGGGCTATGACTTATGATTACAGCTTACAAGAATCTAATTGGCACATTCATAAAAAAATGAATTTCGATGGCAGTTGATAGACCAATTAGAATCACTCAGTACGCAATATAGCTCCAAAAAGTTTTCACATCATATCACCCCTGCTTTGTGTAATTATTAAATAAAAAGTATCTGGGCATATCTGATATATCATTGTCCTGTTGGCTGCCAATTTTGAATGGATATTTATTTATAAATCGCTTGATCTATCTGTCTTTTTAAATCAAATTTGTATAAGTTGCTCGTCCTAGAAATTCAACAAAACCACGGCAGCTCCCAAAAAAGAAAAAGCTTTGCCTTTTGCAGCTTATACTGGACTTCCGATCCTCACATTCTTCCATCTCTTTTTTGTCTATGATCATCGTTTATTAGTTACGCTATGGAAGAATTAATTATCACTAAGAATAGAGGTAAGAGTAGTTAGCATTTAGGATCAACGACGTCAAAGTGAAGAAAGTAAGAACAACTTTGCAGATAAGATGGAGAGACAATTTCCCTCACCTTTACTATCTTCCTTATGGAAAAGAATGATATACCAAAAATCCACATTTTTCTGTGATCTCTTAACAGCCCCCTCTTATCACGATCTGGGAATATCTCCAACATAAACTAATAATCCTAAAATTAGATAGAGGAGAAAATTGACAGACAAAACCTGTGGAATAAGACAAACAACTGTGGGCATCAGCATTGGTGTCCCTTGTTAGCTAATGAGATGAATAAGAAATTTAACAGCAAAATTAATCATGCGTCTACTTACGTTGGACTTGGATATAATCATTTCTGGCAGATAACCCTGCAATCCTATGTTATATACTGGAGTGCCATCAGGATAGTAGAGGCCGTAGTTTCTCTCTGATGTGGGGCCAGGTTTTAAATTCTCATTAAAAAGTGCAAAGACGTAGACATCAATAGGTACTGACGGATTAGCTGGAGTGCCTTGCTTCTGCTCCATTAATTTCACTAAATTAGCATTATATATTCCTGCATTCTCTTGGGTAGCCCCTATTTCATCAGGGTCACCCTTAGAAGGCCAACCTGTCTCTGAAATTCTAACTTCAATATCAGTATAACCCAGAGCCTTGATTGCAGAGTACACGGCATCAATCTGAGCATACAGCATATTATCATAATGCAATTTCGTATTTGGGTCAGTCATCCCTGGATTTGGCTGAAACAGTACGTAATTTAAAGGAATATCATTTGGGTTATCCTTGTATGCGAAGAAAGGATAAGCGTTAATGAGAAAGGGTGCTCTGATCTGAGCTAGAAAGCTTAGAAGGGGTTGAATATATTGTATCAGATCTTGCCTAAAAGTTCCAGATGATGGAGGGTACGAACTGGATAAAATTCTAAAAGAATGAGCACTAGTGACGCTAACTTGTTGATCTAGGCCAAGATTTACAAGGGCATTATGAACACTTTGCATTGCTGGGAGAAGGGTTGAGAATATCTGGGTGTCGTTGCTGTCAAATACTTCGTTTCCAACAGTAATGCAAGTGATTTTTGTGCGAGAGAGGTAAGGTTGAAGATGCTGTTGGATCCATGTTTGAGCTTTGGCTGGATCTCTCACGCTCTGGAGATACTCATTTCCAAGCCCTACAACAAATTCTACATTCGAATTGGCGAAGGCAAGTAGAACATTGGGATCAGCATCGTAGAGTTTGATTCTGCTTACGTTCATAGATTTTATAAGAACGGCAACACGAGATGGAGAAGGTAGATTGTTGGCTATCTGTCCGTAGTTAATTCCAAAACCAACGCCTTGTATTAGAACGAAAGAATCTGGAAACACAGTTTGAATGTTGAGAAACGTCTAAGACGTTAGAAACAGTCATCTATCAATATATACAGACACACACATGAATTGGGCAGATAACTAAAAATCAACCAAGACAATCCGTTATTTGCAGTAAAAAAACCACCACAGCAGCAAAACTGACTCTACTTAAAATGAGGCATTCTAAGGCACATGAAAAAATCTCCAAGAAAATGGTGTAAATAAGTGATTAGTTCAGGTTCATTCAGAAGGCAAAAAATGGGATAACGGGAAACCCCACTATTAGATCGGACTATTGTACAAACACAACAGTGGCATATTATAAGGCACAGAATCAGAGATGTTGATGGTTTATTCCTGAAAGCGACGTTTCAGTCAGGCCAAATGGAACAGCATTCCTATCACTGACTCAACAAGGCTGGAATGTGCCATCATGAAGAAGCAATGAAGAGAATAAAAGCTGTTTGTCTATTTCCTGCACTTTGCCGGGAATCAAACAGAATCACGCAGAAGGAGACAAGTGAAGAATAACGAACCCGAAACAGAGAGAAGAAGTAATAAAACTCCGAGAAAGGGAGAAAGGCTGGTGATTGCTGATCTGATCTTGGCCATAGTAGCCAATTAAAACCACACACGCTTACAAGTAGAGAAATCAAGACAATGTGAGATCAGTCAGCCAAGCTAACAGAGTTTCTCCTCATGTGCGTGCATATAATACACACACACGCACACACATACCCAGAGAGAGCTCCGTTTCCATTAGAGCTTCACCTTTTTCTTTGATTAATTTAATGAACTGGTATTATGTTGGCTTCATTTATTATTTAGGTTAGCTGTCCCTTTTAGACCTCAAATTGCGAATTATCTCTGGACGGCCGGAGATATTTAATTCACCTCCCTGACACGGCAAGGGCTTTCTTGATTCAACAGTGAGATCGTTAATACATTTAGACAGAATTGAAGGTTCAAATTTGGCCATACACAATTTTTTTTTACCATTAAAATTTAATTTGATTATTTTAAAATTACACTAGGAGCGTAGTAGAAGGGGAAAAAAGGGAGAGAAAATGCCTACGAGGAAGTATTTAGGAAAATCAACCCATACGCTGGCTTGCCCAGCTACTTATCCTGACGTTTTAGTTGTTAAAGTCTCTTTTTTCACGCATCGTATCCAGCTATTAATTAAATTTTTTTTTTTATATAACTCATATAATTAGTCCTTTAATTTTTTTCATAAATTAATTATGCATGGAATACTACTCTGTTCCTATTTATATATGAGTCAATTATACCGTATCTTTATATATTTACATATCAAGAAAATACACTATATTGTTGATAAGACTCCTATTAAAGAAAGGGTGTTGGAAAAAAACTGTTATACATTTTTTTATTGTATTTAATAGGAACAGAATTAAAAAAACAAATAATTTACATTTAGAAACAAAGTTTTTTTTACAACGAGGAGGCTATTTGATAGTAGCATAGCATGAAGGGAGGATGAGTGGAGCCCACGTATCGCAGTTGAGAACCGCCTTTGCTGAAGGTCGGCTGACACCTGAGTGAAGGCATGTGTCTTGAAATTATCAGTTTGCGGAATGCGGACCTCAATCAATTATTCCGATCTACGCAACGCAATAAGATCCTACTCACATTCAGATCATTTTTTTATTTACCTTTTTGTCTTCGATTCTATCAGCTGTGAAGCAGAGACCAGAGCGAGGAAGCGGTGATCGGGGCGAGCCTCCTCCATTTTTTTTTTTTTAGAATTATTTTTATATGATACTCCACACACACGCACCCATATATATATATATATATATATATATATCATCCTCAATCCTAAATCCTAAATCCTAAATCCTTCGTGTTTAAATCTTGACTCCACCCCTCATCAACTCATTAATTATTGGAGTACACTCCAAATTCATGAAGGCGCATGATTTGAGTCAGAGACAACATCAGAAGGTTCTTCCTTCCAGAGTTTTCTTGACATCTTCATTCTTCAATCTGTATTAGAGGGCAGAACTGCCGCTACCTGATGTAATTTTTGAGGAATGATCAATTAGGCCACAAAATTGCATGATTGCGTGGTTCATAATTAATAATGATGCACAACCAATAATGGCAGCATTATGATGAATTAAATAATAATTTATTCAACATTATTCTCATTCATAGTAACTTAACTATATGGCGTCAAATAAAATATTCAGAGCACATCGTAGTGTTAACAGGGGGGGCACATGATATTAAGCTTCCTTCATATTGAATTATAATGAGAGAGGCACGAATTTAATTGGAACGTGGCTTCAGCGTAAAGCGAGTAATCCCCTTTCGGCCTTTCCAGTTAGGCGCCGCCATTGGCGAACCTGGCAACTTGCAATTTTGATTGTATTCATAAAAAGGTCTCATCTACCACCACAAACTTGAAATCCTTCACTTTCTTCTTTCCATTTGGTAATGTTTTTATTAAGTGTGGCCAAAAAATGTGTCTTTCATGGGAGAGGTTGACTGCTCTCTGGTGAAAAGGGATCTACATTTGAATGATCTGCATTCCTTCACTTACTATTCACATCTCACACAGCATCATTGCCTTTTGGTACTTGCTAGTGTTGGAGACTTATTAAATTCATCCGATTTCTGAGAATAATCTATTGATTTTCTAATTATTGAATTCTATGAGTAATTTGGATGAAAATTATTATACACTTCCTATTGCCCACATGAAACTGGCGAGGGAATCAAATTCAAATCCATTTGTTCAAGCCAGCTTTTCTCTGACCGAAGTCGAATATTTTGTAGAAGTAAGATCTTTTCGAAGATTTTGCTTAGAATATAATAGAAGGCAAGTACTGCTACCAACGTCCACTTGACGAGTCTGCTTTTGAGAAGTTCTACAATAACTAATAAGAACAACCCACCAAACTCCTATGCCGGATTTAGCAAATGACAACTATGATTCAACTACACGGGCATGGACTTCGAAAGTGCAAATTGAAGCTCACCATTCGTCATTTACAAATAATGTGATTTGTTATAAAGTTTACATCGAGATTATTATTTTTATCACCACTTCTTTTTATTCTACAAATGTTTCCTAAATGCTTTTATCCTGTAACCGCTCAAACCGATGAGACGCTCCCCTCCGAACTCTTTGATGGAGCCTGCAGCTGCTTTGGTTACTGGTTGGATTTGAATTCAATAATATTGGATGATCTAGTTAATTACGGGAGGATTATATACCACATTCTCATTATTGACTAGAGGTGCGCTAGCTCAGGGTATTCCTCAAATCTTAAAGCGCAAGCCACAAGAGCGTGACGTAACTCATTAAAGAGAAACATCTCACTTCATCACATTGATTCCTCATTCCCTACCGCGCACACATTCATCATCCCAAATCACTGGTAACCCCAAAAGGCCAAACCCATCGACATCTCAGAAGCTTATTACCAATATATTAAATATTGCCAGTGCAAAAGCAACTACACTCGAGTTGGCAAGCACCAAATGCAGGTTGGAGCGATGTCTCCTTAAAGAGCAGTTCAGCCTTCCCAAGTCCCAACCTTCTGGCTAGTAGCACTCAATAAAGATCGCTTTCCTGGTGAGTTTCAATTACACAATCAGCAGATGGATAGGAGACACATGTTAGCACATAGCCTTCATTTGATTGTCATCAAGGAATGAGCCATCCGACTGATCCACAGAACCAGAAACTATTTCACCTGCAGAGGTAGAGTATGCTCCAGCCCTGCATGATTAGGGGAGCTCAATTCCAGCACGCTCTGCTGAATCCAGGATGTAACTATCATCAGGGGCCTCAAACTCATTCTCTTTTCCATCCGGACCAATCAGCTTAATCTTGTAAGAAGCCCTGGCAGTTGCATTAAATAAGGGAATTGATTTCAAACCAAAAGTTCTAGAAACACTCCTCACAGATCCAAGATAGGAATGGCGTTTCACTAGGACACTAGTTAATCGATTATAGCTCTTCGATTGAAGCATGCAATGAGAGGGAACCTTCACAGTTGGCATGGTTGACATGATTTCCCTTGGAAATTGAATCAATAGCATTGATTTGATCAATTTTAAGAATCAAACAATTTCTTTAAAAAAAAAAGATGTCTGAGAATGCAAATTGGTATACAAAGAGCATGAGTTCAGACTCAATACTGGAAAGTGAAATTAGGGTGATGAACTGTCAGACTATTGCAAGACACATGCCAAAGGTTAAAGAAAAAGGTTACTGATTGTATTATTAGCTATACATTGCGAGACATGCATTTGGTGAGTGCCAAACAATTCATACAATTTATTCCAAGCTATCTTACAACACGGCACAGGTGAAACAAACCGCAACTTCAAGTTTCTCTATGCTTAATCCATCTGAAGGAAAGAAGTGTGGTCATTGACACGAAGCATGACACTAACACAACAAAATCTGAAATCCGTATGCAATTTAAAGAGGTGTGTGACGTCTAAGACACAATTCCCGTTTTTGAAGCGCCCAAACCCATTAAAACTACCACCTGTGCCATTGCCTGGTACAAGGAAAAAAAGATTTGAGAAAAGAGAAAATGTGAGAGAAAGTATTTTCAATTGTGTTTAGTAGATGGCAAAGCATCTCTCTTGGATACAAAAGCTTCTTATATTTATGAAAGAGAGCTTTCTTATTCTTATTCCCTTTCTCATTACCACTCTGTACCAAACAGGCCCTTGGAGAAGAAAGTTCAGTAAATCCTAATATGCATGTAGATGAGCATAGTAGGCAGTTCGGTAGCAATTACTTCCGATTCAATGGGCACCAACAGAAGGGCCTCTACGCTAGGTAAGGAAAGGAACTTGATCATAAGGGAACTACTAAGCGTCTTTACGCCGAGATACATCTAAATTTATGCCTTTCATTATTCACATTGAATGGAACCATTTCCATTCCTGTTCTATAAGGCAATTGATTTATGGAGCACTATGAGAAGAGCAAGCTAATGGCTCTCTACTCTTCACTCGAGGCTCCAAATTTATAATTACCTAACAAAACAACCTTGCCAGTCCCTCTGTGCTCTGTAGTAAGGAGCTTCATTTGCTCTCTCTACTCTTCTTTTGCTTCATACAACAGAAAAGACATTGCATGAACACTCAGACACACCCTGCAGCTCTAGCAGCAGCAAGACATCGCAACAGCATGAACTGACTATAAAGTCTAGTTCTTTGGATTAAAATCTATCTAAAAGACGATCCTTTGGCCTTGCAGCAGTTCGGCAAGGGAGCAAAGGCATAAGAAGTATAGGCCAGCCAAAGTTCCTACAAAAGTCTTACAAGAGAACACCTATCTCATGCTAGACTAACTATAAATTAAAAAGAAACGTTACAGAGCTCCGAACCGTAGAAGAAAAGTTAATACAGGACAGATCTAACGAACGCAAGCATACATTACAGTCAGCCCGGTAAAGAGATTGACAGAGAGAGATTTGGAGTGCTCAGTGAAAGAAGAAAGGAAGCACCCAATGACCAGAGCAAAAAGGAGAAAGTTGAGGAAGCTCTTCCTGTGAGTGGGAGTAGAGAAAACGAAGTAGGAGGGAAGAAGAGTGAGGCGAGGAACTACTTAAAACCCTAATCCGCATGGACACAAAGCCACATATTGATCGCAGGAGAAAAGGATGCCTCGCCACCTTCGGCATCTGCTCTGCTGAATGGCCAGTGGGCGAAAGGTCCTTGGACACCCAGCTTCCCCTAATGATGCCTCCGGATCTGAAGCCCAAAGCGGCGGCCCACCCGTGACATAGTTTTTCCATAAATTCTATTGACAAAATTAGACCTAACAGCCAAATTTATAAAATCCATATTTTCAAAAATTATTATGAAGGATGATAATCCTTCTCTACAAAAATTAAAATGTGCGAAGAACAAATTATATTTTTATTAAATAATAAAAATGGTAGTTATAAAATATCAAAGCGTCAGTGTGAATTATATAATTTCACAAGTGGGGTTCCTGGAAATACCAAGTTTGTAAATCTGATCTTTACTATGATTTCTCTAATTTTATAATAATAACTTAATAAGTACGTATGAAAAATAGTTTATGCTAAAATCAAAACAAAAAGTTATCCTCTATGTATTTTACTTTCATTCAGAAAGTTGTTATTGTTCGTTATTAACTAATTCAAGGCTCCGTCCCAATTAAAATCAGATTGGGCCTTGAATTGGAAAAGACGATCCCAAAAGAGTCTGACCTCTGGCAGTCAACTTCACTTTTTTCTTTTGGGGCCATCAATAGTCAACTTCACCCTGAATTTGATGGTCAACAGTTCATTTCCCTGATTGTATACTTTCTTTCCCTCTTTGTTTTCTTTTTTCACTTTCCTTTTTTTCTTTTTTTGGTTTTTGCCCAGAGCAGTCATTGAGCTCGTCTTTTGAAACCCAAACCAAAAGTTACATGGCGCCCCTGCATGGCGAGGCGAACGCAGACGCACCCTATTTCTTTGGCTCTGGTGTATCGGGTGCTGCGTAACCCTATTCCTCCTCCCTCTAAATCAAAATGTTTTCCGTCGATCGTAAAAAAATTAAAAATTTGTGACAAATTTCGATTATTGTTGATTTCATTTCTGATTCAACTAACATGATCAGCAAATTCAGGTTACAACTTACAAGTACGTCAAATATTCCTGCTTGCCCACGTCTTGAACTCTGAACAAGCTTGGATCATATCTGCATTTTTGCTGAGCGGTTGCTTCAACTTATTTCATTTTTTTCTAAAATAATTTACTCATCTATAGCCAATTGTGCTGAGAGAGAATCTGAAACTGATATGGTAATAATACAAACAATCCAAAATTTTCTGCACAATTGTTTTCTGCATACGCTTCTTCTGCTGCATCTGCATGCTCCATGCACGTCGAATTGTAAGGGCTGATCGATCAGTTCCAACTGAATCCATTCAGGTCCAGTTGTTTACAACTGGCTGCACCTTCGTTTTCTTGGCGGGTGTTAAGGTCTAATCTTGGTGTAGCAAAGTAAGGCAATCTATAATCTCCGGAAACTTTTTCGTCCACTGCTAATTCCATCCCTTCTGTTCTATTATTGGTGCTTCGGTGCTGGAACTCATTATCTGATTCCCTCCCCATTATTATTCTCTCAGGATAGATGCTGCTTCCATTTCTCGTTTCTCCTTCAACTCCAATGCTCATTGTTAAGTTGCCAGTACTTCTTTCTGATATATTCTTGCTCAGAGGGTTTAGAAAATTATTATTCTTTTTTGCTTCGGCGTCCTTATTTGGTTCCATGAAGGTGTGGCCATTAAAAGGTCTCGTTAAGCACATGCCAGCAATTGGCATCTCCTGATCCCTTTGAGATCCCTCGCAGGATGTGAGGCTACTGTCCATTGAGCAGTCATTATGTTGGTTGGTTCGTGTGTTGATCTGGGGGCAAAATGCATTTAGTTCCTTCAGCTCTGAAAAAGTAGAACTCAGACATTGAGAGGATACTTTGGACACTAGTTCTGAGAGTTGGACTTTGGCAGCTTCAAGACCCACTACTCCCGAATTCTGTCTGCCAAGCGTCTCCTGAGCTTTCTCAAGCACAGCCTGCAGGTATTTCCCTTGGGCCTCTATTCGGAGCTGTAAGTGTCTTTGAACCTGGATGGGTATGGAACGGTTTGTCACAATTTTACTTATTTTAAAACAACTAGCATATATGATTTTTTTTCCCCCCAAGCATGTTCAGTAGTTGACACACCTCAAGTTGTTCATTTAGTCTTCTCTGCACCTCAATCTGCATCTGCAACGCGTCGCTTATATGTAAATCTCTGGCAAAAGAGCGTTGGTATTTAGTATGTATTTTGAGGGATAAGTTCTCCAAATGGAAGAGGAAGCATGTGAATACGGTAGTTAAAGTGCTTACTTGTTATTATTAGCCTGCGGCCCGAGGGTTAGATTGCTCATATGATTGTGAGTTCCATTTGCTTCAGAAAGTCTTTCTCCGCTAACGGCACTTGCATTTGTTGCTGGTATGAATAAGACGAGCATTTTATTTGTAAGCAGAAGGTTAAGTTGATCTTAAATCGCTTGCAACTACATCAGATGAACCTGGGAAATATTGTTCTCTTACTGATTTTGTGTGTTACATTGCTACTTTGTCCATGCAGATTCTTGCTCAGTCTGTACTTCTGGGGACAAAAAGGAAAGGATCAATAATTTTCGAATACTTATTCGTGCCATACAAGCTAAAGGCGAAGGAAAGGTATAAATTTTATACATAAAATACTCTTCCGGTCCTAAATAAATATAAGACCTACTTTGTAGTGTTCAAAAATGTTTACAAAATAAGCAAGTTTCATCTACGAACGTAGGAAAGGAAAAGAAATTTAGAAAACTTCGATGTTCGATGTCTCTCAGATTCACCCTATTTGAAAGTTTTCGAATTAAACTTCAAAAAGAAGATAATATGATCAAATACTAGGCTTTCGTTTGGTCGAGATTGAGATCACTTATAAAAAGAAGCGTGCAACTACACATAGGGAGAACTAGACTGGGATATAAAAAGCTCGCAATAATTGTCAAATAACTGAGCGATGAAGATATTAGAAGGGCTATTACACGGGCTAGATGACTAGTGAAATTTACCTGGAGATGGCTCTTAAGATGATATAAAGTAAGCCCCGGAATTCCCATGAGTTTCATTACTGTTTTTGGAGTTGCCTCTGCAGCAGAAACGTTACACTTCACATCAGTAAATCTAAAGTTCTGTGTTTTCCAATGGGATGATCTCCCAGTGTGGTCACGTATACTCACTGTCAGCTCCTCCTAGCTGATTGACTGCTTCAATAAATCGGGCATGAAGATCTGGTGTCCATTTCAATCTGGGTTTAGCATCAGTTGAAAGTACAAGTCCAGAATCTCCAGACCCATTTCCACTTTGAAGGAACAAATGCCTCTCAGAAGGAATCGGCATTCTGGAAGAAGAAGAATGGATGTTCTTTGCGTGACTCTGGTGATTATGATACATCCCACCTACAAAAGCTACGAGTAAGCGTTCTGATATTCAAAAACATACCAGCTTGATCCCTCTTGCTGGAGACCAATTTGTGCCGTTACCTGTTGGACTCTTCGCCGGAGTTCTTTGACACCACTAAGAGGTGGAACCTGGTAATTCTCTAGTTTCAAGTATTGTTACTCGCCCTGATAATGGTGATCTGAACTTCTGACAACTTGTGATGCTTGTCTAGTTTCTTCTCTGGACATATATTTTTCTGCAGAAGCGTGCCCAAACTGGTATTTATATTGAGAGCTGGAGGGGAGTTTATAGCGCATAGAATCTTGGATAGAACCAATGGAAAACCCATATTAATGCTTTGTTTTGCGGTAACTTGAAAAATAGATTTTGTTCCCTCCAACTTTTGCTCAATATTGTGGGCCCAATTTTCCATTCTTAGACAGTGGTACCTTTGGAGCTCTTCGGCAATGCAACTTTCTTAAACGCCTATCCTTTAAAATTTTAATTTGTTCGCCTGGTAAAAGTAGGAATCATATTCCAAAATTTTGAAAGAGAGTTTCTTGTTTTTTGCCCTCAATTAGTTCTAAGGAATATGATATTCCTCTCGACTTGGAAACGCCAAAGCCCATCACATATCTTTTTCTTTTTCCTGACATGAAAAATTCTGAGAGGTTAGAACCCTGATATTTTGTTCATCGGTTTGATATTGCGGTCATTTTATCAATCCTCAACTTAAATATTTCTCTAAGCGACATGATGGAAGAGCCATGCATGAAAGAAAGTCTTGATTGGTTGTATATTATGGAGAACTTAAAAAGAAATATTCCAATTGACTAGAGCATCTTTAAAGTCTGCAGTAATCCATACAAGAAATAGGGGGAAAAATAAAAATAAAAAGAAAATGAAAGAAGATGCTTCCAGTGGTGCTATATGGAGGTAAGGAATAGAATAAGAATACGTTCTTTTATGTCTCCTTCAATAAGCTTGGTACTTATTCAGCCCCCACCTCATAAAATAGAATGAAGATGGGCCCTAAACTTGCCATTCTTTGGCCCAAAAACTGAGGGCCGATCCCGTGGTATCTTTTAAGCAAGAGGGACCTGTTTAATATGGAAAGCCAGAATAGTACTTGCAGCTTAATGTAGGACAACAGCAGAGGACCACTTGACTTGCACCTTGGCTTATGTAGCCGATTCCCAAGTAAGAATCAATCAATGCATTTAATTTTCTATGATCAGCTTTCTCTGGTTCTTCTTATCCATGTATGTAGTGCCCTTCACTAAATGCATGTTGTCCTTAGGCATATAAGCATGCATCTAGACCTAAATAATATACAATCATTATGTTTAATGTTTATATATTTCATGGCTTGACATTGTTGAGAATTCTTGCACATACCACAATCGCGAAAAAAATCAAATAATTCATCAGAATCTGATTCAGTTTTAAGAGAATGCACGTGTCAACTGCATGCAGAACTGCGTCATTCAATCTGAAAGATGCAGATTGTAAACCAAGGGTGAGCGGTGCAACACTATCTGATTAAAATTCCAGGAATATCATCGTTTAAATGATTAACAGCTAAGTTAAGGCGGGGTAGTTTAATTATACATGAGTAATTATATCAAAGAAATTTTCAGTGAAGAGAAGCAGAAGTAGAGGCTTGACTATAAACCGTTTCTAATATGTTGATATCTATTCATGAGGTGCTAAAGAGATCTTGTGAAGACAAGCATTATATAGACAACAACTTGGTAACCGTGAAAATAAATGGAACAAGGATTCCTTGAACAGTATCTTCAGATCACTTCTTCCTTTTCTTGTTCTTGATTCTGATTTGCAGGAATATTTAATGCGGCCAAGAGAATCTGTGGGAGCCTTTTGGTAAAGTTAAAGGCTTTAAAGCTGAGCTCCTGAGTAGAGTTCTGGCATGTGGATTGGAATAATATGATCAAGAGGATTGATCTGGTACTTTTGAGTCTCGATATCGAATGTGCTCCCTTAGATGGACTTAATTACACCACTTGGCAGATCCTCTAGTCTATATCATGATGTGAGAAGCTTATCATGACAGCTAGAAGAGTATATTTTATAAAATGTAACAAACTATTTTTGCAATCGGATGTCTTATAATAGTTTGGTATTTCAAAATATGTCAAGCACACTATGTTGGTACTCCAAAAACATTTTTTGAAGCTGCTATTTTGTAACGACTTGAAATCCTTTCAGATGATAAAAGCCTCAAATAGCGCACACATAATTCTGCATGTAAGCTTCAGAGAATTAAAATTTTCTACAGGAACTCTTTATGATCTTTTTCTTAAGCAAAAATGAGACGACAGAACGGAAAGTGAAATTAGAAGAGAATTAACTTTTTATGTCTCTTTTAACTGGTATTGTTATTAATCTTACTGTTTAAGGTTCTGTCTGTTGGAATCAATGTTGTCTGGATTTTTTCAACGTACTCTTAATTAACCATGCAAAGAAAATTTTGTTGCTACAATTTCCTTAACCATATCACGTTCTTTTTTTGGCTCAACGCACTCTTTGGTGCTGTTTGTGCATACACACAATCACTGAACAATATAAAACTGTCATAAGCAAAACATTGCAGAATAAATTTGAGAATCTCATATATGTTTTTCAGGGATCATCTTTCCCATAATGGCAGTCTCCATCTTTTGCTCAGAATTAAGAAAGAGGAAATCAAGTCTTAAATTTTATTAATATGCTTTCATTTATAGCGGATAAATACCATGATTTCATCAAGGATACAAATTAACAAAATAAAAGCAAAATGTCACAAACCAGGAACCAGGACATCGGTACCTATACATCAAGACCTAAGACCTACAGTTAATAACCTTAGGAAAATGAGATAAACCAAATAATAATGAAATACCTGACAATTCGTGAAAAGTGAAGTACGAAAACAAAAACTAAGAGGAAGAACAGAAGAGAAGCTGCTAAATGAAACCTGCTACCTCTTTTTTATTGTGGGAAAAGTCATTCTATTTGTTTTGATGTTAGGATATTAAAGCTTCTGAAAATTTCATTTCTTCCCTTTTCACCCTTTTCTGCCAAGTAATCTGCTTGGTGCTGTCAAATTGCGCTTAGTAACCTCCTGTTTTTTGCTTCTCTATTTATGTTGGTCTTTGTACAGAACAGTGGGTAACTCTTGCGAGTAATATCCAATTGCCTTTACTATTAATATGGTAGATGTCCCACTAAGGACTTGGAACATAAACTTTTGTTCTTCTTGTACTTAAATCTCCTTTTCTACAAATGTTATCTTAACATGGATAGATTCACTTCTGAGTGGAAGGAGAAACTTTAAATGAGAAACACAGGACAAAATACGAGAATCAACTTACAGACTGGTGGTCAATCATGAGCTAAGCCATTTGCTAGCAATGCTATTGGTTGTGATTTTGTTGATCACGCAGCACAGGTGATGGCGTTGGCTCAAATTCAAAGCAAGAAATGACCACGGAATGATATTCTCGATGGGAAAAGGAAAAAATAAATGAACAAATAAATAAAGCAGGGAACCGGAAAGTTTCAAAGGTTCTGTGGAATGTGAATATGAGAATCTTAACTCAAACTAAAGTCCATAGGTCATATTCTTAAGCAAAGAATTTGGTTATTCTTCTTCTCCGGAAGCCACAAAAAATGGATACCTAATTCCCCACTCAACTTTTCACTTAATTAATCAGATGCCTTTCAGCATTCGATATTCCTGTCATATTGCTATCATTTCTGGGAATTTCATTGTTTATGAAATGGGGTTGTCTTCAAACTTTTCCCTGTCATTCATCTGGGAAGTGACCTGGTTGACATTTGTACTGGTCTCCAAGTTGATTGGTTTTTTAGTTGTCCCCTCACTTGGATAATTCCAGTATCTTTTCCACTTGTTCTTATTCTTACCCTGCTTTATCATTGGCTGTTCTAAGATCTATGGAAGGAGCATAAAATTAGGCATGGGATATGATGGACTCAATGCATCAAGCTCACCTTAATCTTGAAGATTGAAACTGATTGTCATATGAGTTATTTGATAGAACTGTCCAAGTTTCCACGTGCGATCGAGTCTTATGAGAAACAGTGCGTAGGTTAATCATCTAATTCCATTTTTAGATTTGAAACTTGTCTTTTTTCTTATAATAACTGGTGAATATGACTAAGTTGTATTGATTGGGTGATTAACAGACACAGGTTGGAAATATCAGTCCACGCAGATACACGCAAGAGAAGAATATGATTCCATTTAGGTATAGTTGTAAGTTATGCTGGTTTGGCTGCTTCTTACCCCCACCCAAAGGATTTGCATGTCTAATATGGAATGGTTAAGAATTTGAAAACTTGGTTCAGGAAAGTGTTCATTAAAAGGTTGAAAGAGAGGTGGATTCCTTCTATGGTTATGTCATAGCACAGAAAAAGATGTTACAGAATGAATAATTTACTTAATACAGTTCAGGTATGCCATCTCGATATCTTTTTCCAGACTTGGCAATTTATTACCATACCTGCATTTATCATGGTCTCGCTCAGCTCGGGCCCGCCGGTTGTAAAAAAAATTTTTTTGGGGGTGTAAATTAGACACATTTTGTCATGTATTACAGAGAGCATGAAAAATAAGCCATACTTTTAATAACACGTGAATAATACTATTAGTGTTTGGTATTGATATATAAATTATGTCGTTGATGCTACACTTCCACATTCTGCATTATCAACCAAAACAGTAATTAGTTGTGGCAAACATATTTGCTGGGCCACCATTGTTGTGCTATATTAAGCATAGATTAACTAGTCATTTGGGTGACCCGTTCATATGGATTTTGGAATTTGCAATATTAACTTTCGCCATGGGATCATTTAATGGAGTCTTGCCTTGCTAAACGTTAAATTTGTTATTTATCTTCAAATGAATCAAGATTCACACTTTGACTTGACATCCAGTACGATAAAAAGATCCAAATGCACGACGCACATAGCTTCTCAATGGAATTCCTTTGCAACGCATTACCTGTTAGCTAGGTAAATTAACAGTCTTCCAAAACAGAAGCCAGGAAACCTAATTGAAATATCAATGTAGCGCTTTGACAATCAAAACCTCATGGTCAGAGACAACGAAGCGCAGGCCATGAGGAAGCCCGTCTTAAATTTGAGGTCATTAAGGAACCTCCTTTTAAAATGAGCAGTCATTTCCTCTGCTGATGCTTATGTCATGTGGCCAAGAAAGTACGGTGTAGTGCACTCCGCAAATCTGTATTAACAGGGCATTGTCTGGAAATTCAAGGCTGAAAAACACTCTGTATCATCTTCGTGTAGATTTCACCTTCTGTACGGACAACTGATTTCCTGCTTCCTTTTAGGGCACTGTCCTTAGATGCTAAGAGTATATTCACTCCCTCTTAACAGCATGATCTATGTGGCGAACAAACAATAACGAAGCTCGGAAACTGATTGCACCAAATATTAGGAAGAACGCATAACACATGCACGCATTATAGCCAATAAAGAAAGATAGCTGCATTAAGCCACTCATACTGGATCTCACATAGAAGTAGATACTATACAAGAACATGAAAATGGCCGTTGAGCCCCCAGACAGCACAGATCTGCATCCACCAGAAAAGAGAGCAAAATGTTTAAGAAAATGCAGCAAGAGAAGAGATAACACACTGAACCTGCAATAGTATTGGTGACATGCCCTCAGCCTCATTCAGAAAGGTGCTTTTATCGATTTTACTTTATTGAGTTCTTATTTGAAAAAAAAAAAAAAAAGGGAGGGGGGGAAAAGGGGAGAGCAAGGGGAAGAAGAAGAGCGTTTAATGGAAGCTAGCGCTGGTGTTGTAGCACAACATACCTCCACCACCATTCATGATCTTCCACGGATATTTGAAGGCATGTCAAACCAATATTGACGAGGGCAGTGATCAGAATGACAGTAATGAAGGTGACAAGCAAGATGCCAGGAAGAGTGTATATTTTGTAGCCCCATATACTTGCATACAACTGGTGTAATTGAAGGACAGCAGCAGCGAAAGGCACAAGACCCCCAATAAACATTTGACAGGGTGTTCTCCTATACCAAGCAAGCCATTGAATCTCCCTAGGATGTCTCTTTGTAGTAGAGGGGACTTGAAATTCAGACCTGAACTGATATCCAATCAATCCACCAAGCGCAAGCAATGGGATCACGAGAAATACAAATAAAATAAGAATCACGACAATAGAGCCAAATGGAAGTGCAGCTGTGGCCCCATAAGATAATGCAATGACGTTGAGGATAGAGGCTGTAACAAACACTGGTCCTGTGTACAGTAATCCGGATAGAATAACACTCTTCTCCTGGAATCGTAACCAAGTCAATGAACGCTTATTAAAAAGAAAATAATAAAATTAAGCGTAAAGCATTATCTTGTGGAAATTCACATAGAATTACCCATCCATCCTTAGTAAACTGGGCACAAAAAGATGATGCTGAGTACCCGGCAAGAATAGAAGAAAGAGTATACAGCAGGACAAGAAGGTTTAGTAGTCTTCCACGATTGTAGGGATAGAGGGTGCCAATACATGCTAGAAATAGTAATATACACACCCTGAGGGAAAAAGGGAAAGTAACTATATTAAAAATAGAGGGAAAACACAGTGAGCATTTTCAGCTGAGAATTTTCATATCACACAACATAAATGAATACTAAAATGACTCCTTCGTTTATTAAGACAGAAAAATCCATCACTCTGAACGCATTACACAAGAATCAATTTTGGAATGAAGCTTCTGTCTAGACAATCAATATTCATGATTTACCTACCACTTCAACAGAACCTTTATGAAAACTCTATAAATAGGAAGACATAATAAACTAGACCCTATGCTGCCAGATTAGGTTTGATGAACACCATCTAACAGAGGATGCAAAGGTCCCAGTTAACATCAACTCATCAATAGTGACTCAGTAACAAAATGAGGATTTGTCTGCCCTCAGTTAGTTTACAAATCATATGCCAGTCATTGATTCAACTGAGTCTGGCAGCAAAATGCAAAACAGAGAATCAGAATAAGGCATGGCTGCACCACAAACATGAGCATACAAGAGATTATTGGTTATTCCAGCCGGAAAAACAAAACTAAGGTCAAAGGAAACTGCTATTGGCTTTCAGTACCACTTGGAGTCTTAGGTTTGGATTGCTAACAGATTTATTGACACCAGCATGAATAAAACCAGTTGTCATGCACCTTCAAACATTGTATTAGGTTTGGATTGCTAACAGATTTATTGACACCAGCATGAATAAAACCAGTTGTCATGCACCTTCAAACATTGTATTCATGATAATGCAACAAGGAAGAAACGATTTGAACACCAAAGTAGCTTACAAGATTAGCAATTGGGTACCGGTGCCCAGGACAGCAAAAAATAAGGGTGAATTGGGAGGTTGTTGAAATGCATCACCATGAATATACTTCCAACCAACCTCTTTATCGTCTTCATGATTTACAGTAGAAAATCTACATTGCCAACAAAACTATCAGGGTAACAAATAAAAGCAACCCCACTACAAATTTGCTTGCACGTAATTATGGACAAAGAAAACTACCTTTTCAAATCACTCTTCAGATGCCGCATATAAAGCACTGAAAGCAAACCCATCAGTAGAAAAATGATGACAATTGAGTTGACAAACGAGAACCAATGAACTTTTTGATAAATAGGCAGCAGTGAAGTTCTTGAGTATCTGTCCATCCTGTTCTCAAAATGTGTAGACGTGGTGTTCCAGATAACTGAATAAGTGAACTTAACATCCACATCAACACTTTCCGTTATGTCTACGGAAAGATTTGGATCACCAAATGCATTTATTTCTATGACTTGATTTCCATTGTAAAGGACATCAAACTGAACATGTTTAAAAAGGTAATACTTTGGGCCCTTGCCACCAACAGCCCAGCTTTCTTCTTCAACTCGACCAATGAAACCCCAGAATGGAAGATCATCAAGGTACATCTGGAAGTAAAATTCATCTATTATTGCCTGCTTGAACTTTGCAACTTCGTCAATCGTAAGCTTCTTTTGACACAAGGTCTCACCGATTTTGGGCTCCCGGAATTTCAATTGATATAAAGTATTGCTCAAGCGATCACCATTCAAAACTTCGCCAAGGGATTCTTTCTTTCTAATTATTGGGTCTGTGAACCAAAAAAGTTAATATCAATTGCCTAGCTCCATTTTGCTCAAACACGATGACTAACATGTTTTAAGCTTTAACGCCGTGAAACCGATGGGTTTTGCGTGTGTGTGTGTGTGGGTGGACAGAGAGAGAGAGAGAGAGAGAGAGTCATGGCCTATTCGCCTCTGACGATGGTTTTATTTAATAAGGTGCTTAAATGCTTAAATACGAAAAATCTCACGCTTCCGACCAAGTGCTTCTATTCTCTACACTCAAGAGATCATCAATCGAAATAGATTCTTCAATTATTAATAAAGAAGGAAAATGATCGAGATCACAGATTCAGACTGGTTTTTGAGACTACATCCTATTCACTGGCTTCTCTCCTTTTATAGCCATGGTGCATAGAATAAGAGACCGTGCTCAATTTTTTCGCTGGGGTAAACAGAGAGAGATGCAACGCTAAAAACCGAATCTTGATGATACTTCAGCTAAGTGCACTGAGCATCGAGTGATCGAATTACGTACTGACCTGGGCGGCAGAATGGCAAATCATAGTATTCGTATGTCTGACTGCAGAAGAGCAGTTGCAATAAATAACAAATCATGGGGAAATCGAACCTCGAAGAAAAACACTTCAATATAAAATTAAGAAAATACAAAAAGGATTTCCCACACAACAAAATGCGGAGGGAGGGTACCTGGGATTGTTGAGGGGACCGACTTTATTGACAAACAAGGGGATGGGATCGCCAACATTGTACCGGCGATCCGCCGGAGACGCTGCAACTAGAGAAGACGATAAAGCGAGAGCGGTACATAGGAGGAACAGGTGAAAGGCCTGGGGCACTTTAGTCATGGACGCTGAAGCTGAAGACGGAGAAACACACTGGGGACTGAAACGAATCCTAGATACAGTGCCGTCGAAGTCAAACCCAAACCATACCGTGCAGTCAGCCATGACAGGTAACCTTTCTTCTAACAGCTAAAACGGCATACGACATCTTGAGATGGGAAACGACATAGGAGAACGCTGGCTGCCCGGCTGCTAAATTTTGGCGGGGAAAAGGCACTTTTTTCCCGCCAAACCAGAAAAGGCCGAGAGTGCTACTAGACTAAAATATTTTATGCCTCGCTTGGCACGATCGAACAGTTTTTAACAGAAATAGAAGTGAAAGTAGAAATTGAGGGGGAAGTGAGTTCTAAAACCTATTTGCTATGGCAATAGAAGTGAGATGTGATTTTTAATAAAAATGTCTATTTATAATATGAAAAGACTTGTGTACTCTTGACTTAAAAAAAAAAAAAAAATCCCACCATCCAAATACTCATAGTCACGTTGTTAGCCACCAGTTACCACAACGACCTACACTACAAACACAACCCTTGTCCTCCATTTTTTAACAGCTATCAGCCATCAACAATCAATATCAACTTAAACTGAAAAAACACAAAGGAAAAAATAGATTCAGAAGCAGAGGTATCGCCATAAAAAAAGAGAAGAATAGGAAGAAGATGAGGACGAAAAAGAGTTTTGGCCAAATCGCAACTTTTCCCTCATGGCTTCATGATCGCGAGTTTGAATCAAAGTGGATGATTACAAGTCTATGCAGCCTCTACCTTACGAGGTCGATAGCAAAATATAGTTGCACTTGTGATTCTCCCTCATGGCTTCAAATCTAACAAATCTAAAGTTGTCATCGCTGTAAGGGAAAGGGTGGGAAACAAGGACTATAGCACAAAAAAATGATTATAGCTCTAGTGTTTCACAGATATGAAGTTGTCACCTCCTACTATATGATGAATCTGTTGCCTCCTACTCTGGATGAAGCCGTTGTCGCCCTCTACCCTCAAATCTGAAGTCAACAGTGTCCTCGTTGGTGTTTCTTCATCATCACCAGTCACCAGAGGTTGTCAAATGGTTTAGGAAGAAAGGAGGGTTATAATGTTAAGGGCAAACTTGTCAATAAATTATAAAATTGATGATATAATGGCCTGAAAAAAAATCACTTCCATGGAACTCATCCAGTTCCATAGGTCATGAGGTAGAACTCAATTCTAGCATTTTCAGTGGAAGTGACTTCTCAGAGAATCCAGTTCCAGTGCACCAAACAAATAAAAAAGTTGATTCCACTTTCACTTCCACTTCTCTCCTTCCAATTCCTTGCTACCAAACGGGGCATTAGTTTTTATGAAGGCAAGAAGATGGGCATGATTTATTCAAATGAAGGGGATAACAGTAAAAAGACAAGAATGACAACAAAGTGATTGACGCCAACGAAATTGAATTTATATAGCTGATACGCAAGCAGGACAACACAAGATATAATAATACAAAACATTACGCTGCTAAATTGATTTGGAGCTATTTATGCTGAGTCTTTATAAATATCTTCATATAAGTTAAAATAAAATTCTTTTCACATGTTTATTATTTCATAAATCACGATTCAAAACTACTCTAATGGTTTTAAAGAAGCCTTAACAGAACAACTAATTACTCCTATCCGACACAGCAGGAGTGCAGATTTTGGAGGCAGCTGACTCTTGAGTAAAATCCAAATACTGAAGTGAGCTCCAAGAACTCCCGGGAGGATGGTGGCCAACAGAGAAAAGCTTGCGCAGCCCATAGCCGGCCTTATCAGTCGAACCTCATGCAATGGGCTAAATGGCGGGTCATTCTTTTTTTGGGCCCAGAAAGGCAGATCAAGTGTTCAATTCAAACATGTTTAAAAAAAAAACATTTTTGAAGACGTAAGCACTCTGACAGTGTCTCGAATAAGATTGCCTTCAATAGAAAGATACCTATGCTTTGACAAAAGAAGAAGTAAGCACTAACAATATGCTGTTACAAAACAGAATCAAACTCTTAACTTTCCATCTAAAAGAGAGCATTCATACTATTAAATTACAAGGCTATCGGCATACCAATATGTCATCTAAAGTTCTTGTTGTTATACATGTGATCTGACGTTGATATAATATTTAAACTAGAGACAAAAAAATTGAAAAAAAGAAAAAGAAGGAGGAGGAGGAAAGAAAGAAATAACATGACACAAAATATTCTTACTCAGACCACTTTTGTCTGCACTTTATCAGAAGTGAGAATAATTCTAACAGTATGCAGATTTGAGCCACAAACAAGTTATTTGGGGTAGTCAGGTGTGTTATAAATGGAGAGTTTGAAAGCAAAAACACAGACAGATTCCACAAGGGGGCAAGTTGTGTGCCCCATTTTCATGGTGAGCAAATGATCCATTTGACTCCCCCACCATGAAACCTCCCAACAACAAAACATTAACTCCAGATATTAACAACTACTGCTGCAGTCTCCCCCACCATCCTAGTTCCATTCCTATATTGGAAAATTTTTCATGTTTCCTTGCTTTCAGTTTTTTTTTTTTTTTGGGCCTCAGATCAGATTTCATTCAAGTGTCCCCCGTTTTGCTTCTTAAGATTCATAAAACCAGCGGCTGAGACCCCAAACAGAACAAAACCAGAATCTTTTGAATTTCATGGGACCCATAGCAGCAAACGTGTTACTGCCAATCATGGACTACTATGATAGTGTGATTAATTTTTCTCAAAGGGAAGATGCTGACGGTGTCATGCAAATAATACCAAACCTTTTACCTGTATGAAAAATATTGGTATGATAGCTAGGCCACATATGTTCCCACAAGCTGCTCAACCCCACTGTTGATGCGAACTTGGAAAAATTTATGAACAAAATCAAACGTATTTACTTTCGAATACTGATATTGCTTAGACGGCAAGCAATGACTTCACATAGTTGAACATAATCTTCGAAGGAATAATTAATTATAGGTTTTTGATTCCGACCAATCACCTCTCTCCCGCGATGCTGGGGGGAACTCATCTTCTCAGTGAATTACGGCTTAAGGGAATGCCACACTTTTATGGACTCTGTTCCTTAAAAACCTTCCCAACAACACTCCCCTAATTCCGAACACCTTCTACAACACACATGCGTGTTAATTTTGTACCAGGTATATATATATATATATTTATATATTTATCAACATCCACACAGCAGCCTACGAAGGCTCTTCTGTTAATCCGAACCAGATCACCTTTTTAAAAGTTTAATCATTGATCTTTTAGAACCATACAAGATTAATCATTGTGGTAGGAGGCATATATCATTTCGTATATAATATCTGATCTGCTTCTCTCTCCCCCCCCCCCCCAATCTCCCCAAGTTCGTTGTACTTGCATATAGACCGCACATTAGACAAACATTATTATTGTCGATAGTGCTATACCAAAAACCTCAAGTTGTGTAAAAATATATAGTACCTAATATTTTGCCTCGATTCTGGGCTCTGGCTCTATGGGACAAATGAACTACATCTTCATGATGACACAGTATACCCAATATATATCAATGTGGTAGCTTTCTGCAAGCATATGTATTTCTATAAGCAGAAGAAAATTAAAAGAATCTTGACGTGGCAGAGTTTTAGGTAATGACAAGGAACAGATGTTGACTCATCAACAAAGGAGATAATACCAAACTGATCCATCTCAAATGCACGAAGTGGGTCTGCTGTGGACTATTATTCTAATGTTTTCGTTCATCAAATGGGATCACCACGTACAACCATATATATATATATAATAACTTTATTAATACATAAATACATATATATGTATATAATAATGTGTAAAATAATTTGATCTTAAATAAACATGGAGTGACATGTATTAACCCTTGGCTATAAAGAGATGGAAAAAAGTGATCTTTTGATTGATTTTTTTTTCCTTTTCTTTTTCGTCATCTATGGCCATCTTTAATTGTCATGGTTATAATGGGAGGTGAAAAAATTTGTCTTATGCTTCTCACACGAAATAAACAAACATGTATGACTTTTGTCAGTGAAGTACATGCAGACATGCAGTCCTTTGGCCCCTCAGCCCAATGAAAGAACCAATAAGAAAACTCAGACGGTTAGAGGAGAGAGAGAGTGGAGTAGGAGTCAGTGATTCTAGTGGGTTCCTTCACAACACCCCTTCACTTTAAATTTTAATATTTTATTTGCTTCTTGGTTTAACTACTAAAAAATTTGATTCCCTGCTCAATTAGAAGATGTATATTTATTTATCTCAATTTTTCTCCATTTTTTATTGAGAGGAAAGAAAAGGAATGAGATTTCATATTTTCTTTTGTATTATTCCAGTCCACTTCAACTAAATTATTATTATTATATTTATGGAATTCCATCGTCAAATGGCTGAAAGACTCCTACTAATTTTATTTCTGCTGCTTACAAACCCCACAAGCCCAGAGAGGCAGAGACAAGGCTGCTAAGAGAAGACTTTGGGCAGCACTGAATGAGTTGTCTATCTGAAATGGTGAAATAAAAAGGAAGCCAAAGGGACTAATCAATCAGCTTTCTTCGCTGAGAAGGAGAAAAGAAAGGGATAGAGACAACCCATGAAGGATAAAAAAGAAATTTGAGAAAAGGACTCGACCCTCTTTGTGGCAACTTGAAAAGATACTGCTTTGACAAGAAAGCTTCGATCTTTAGCTCCTCTGTGACCTTGCCTATCTACGATTCCATTGCTATATATCCTCGGAATACCACAGAAAACAGAGGTAAACCACCACCATGACTTCTTTCTGGGTAACAGTTCTCTAGTTCTCGTGTTTTTGTGATTAACTTTGTTCTAGTAAATGCCAACTCTTTAGCTTCGGTTTCAGGAAAAAGCAAGAGAATGGTCTGATGAGCTTTGCATGGCGACCCACAGAATGGGTGAAACTGGTTTATCTGAGTCAGGACCTTCAACTTCAAGTCACCATGCTCCTTATGGGGTTCTTCATGGAATTAGTTCTCCTTCATCTAGCTTAATGTATTTTTTCCGATACTTTTTCCTTTTGATTCTATTAAGAAGCAAAGTTTTTTCCTTACATGACTTGGTTTTAATACTCTTTTCTTTTCGTCCATCTTATTGTTCGGCTTTCTTAGCAATCAAGGATCTAGTTATTATTTTGGAGGATTGGAAGAGGCAATTCTGCAAGGAGTGAAGATTAGGAACGAAGAAGCCAAAGCATGTATGGTCCTCTTCCCTTTCCATCGTTCTTTTTTCTGACGTTAAAGCAAAACCCATGACCTGATTCTCTGGCTCTGTAACTGCTGACAAGAGGATTAGGTTCATCAACCCTTCTGATATAGTAGTTGAAAATCATCAAGTCCTTTTTTTTTTCATTTTGGTCATCCTCTGAGACTCTGCTTTCGTGATTCTTGCAGCTTTATTCGCAGGCAAGCCTGCAGCTACACTAGAAATGTTCCCCTCATGGCCCATGAGATTCCAGCACACCCAAAGAGAAGTACTCACTCTCTTTTTTGACCACCTGTTGCTAAAAAATGCCACTTTTTTTGTTCCTTTCATTTTTGCAGAAGCTGACATGTGAAATAGTAAGCTTGGCTTCGTGAGCATCTCATAACAATAAAAATGAAATTTGTACAGATACAGGGAGGTTCAAAATCCGGAGGAGAGAGCACCGATTCAGGATCAGGCCTGAATACTATTTCAAGCAAAACAGAAGCACAGTTTGAACCAGAATCTGAATCTCCCATAAGTAAAAAAGCTTCTTGCACAGATTATCAGGCTTTTGATCAGCAGCAGAAACAGCGGCTACAGCAACTAGAACAGGAGATGGCAAGCGATGCCTCAAGATGCCAAACACAGAATCAGAATGAATCGGCTGCTAAACCATTTCAGGCAAAGGTACTAATGACCACTATTTTCCATAATTAATCCCTCACTTATCTCCTTCTGTAACTGTATCCCCCAGAGCCCGGAAAAGTGAGCCTCATCAACGCTATTATTGCTGCTTTCATCTCTCTCTGTATATCTTCATAAAAGAGCAGCGCAGATCCCAATATCTCTCAGAAAATCAAAGGAAAACAGAGGTTTTCTGACTTCTGATCGATGCGTGATATGATATATGAGAGAGAGAGAGAGAGAGAGGTGTGTACATACGAAATTAAAATTGGATTTTTTTAAAGGGAAAATAATAACCAGGGAGAATCTTGTCAGTACCTGTCAACTTTGTCATTATAAAAGTTGGAGTTATCCTTTTCATCAGTCCGGGTAAACTCGGAGAAAACTTGTGTTTCTTTGGAGTTGAATCCTCAAACCACATTAAACACCGAAACAATGGCATCAGATAGCGATGCTTTTTGCTACCCTTATCACATCGATGATTGCATGCCTCAAGAGAAATGGCTCAACGTAAATTCTGTGAGCACCCTTAATAATCCCGTCTTCCGTTCTTACTTTGAAGTTTTATAGTGTAGTACTGTAGTGTCTCTCTTTAAACCTTGCCTCTCCTCAGTTCTAAGCTTGTAGGAACTTCTGAGGCTGAACAGATCTCTGCTTTTCCGCCCTATAATAGAGTTGGAGCTAAAAACTTAAATGACATTTGAGTCAATCTCTTTATTTTCTCACAGTTCTTCTACTGATTATCGTAATTATTATATCTATTCCTCACTTTTTTAACTCTTACGTACGTTGCAGAGGAAAGGAGGCGGTTCTACATCAGACAGGCAACTCGATCCAAAGGTGTTTGAATATGCATGACATTAAACATGCAAAACTAAAAATTCTTCTTTTTCTTTATTTAAAAAGGAAAAAGAGCTAACGGTTCCCTGATTGGTTTCAGACAATGAGGCGTCTAGCTCAGAACAGAGAGGCTGCAAGGAAAAGCCGTCTCAGAAAGAAGGTATTGCAGAAACTACAGTATTGTAAAATTCTAGCAAATGGAAAGTGAAAGAAAACATGTGTGAGTTATGTTTCGTTCTATCCAAACAGGCTTACGTGCAGCAGCTAGAGTCAAGTAGAGTAAAGCTTTCCCAGCTCGAACAAGAGCTTCAAAGAGCACGCTCTCAGGTTTTGAAGAAATCATAGTCCATTAATCCATGCATCAAATAATAATTGCACAAATTTTATAATAATGTGGTTTTCTTAAATATTTTATTTCAACCATTTTTGTTTGGTTTTCTTCCTTAATAGGGACTATTGATCGGCTGCGGTGGGACTTCTACTGCCAATAATATAAGTTCCGGTGAGTTTAACTAATCCTATAAGATATATTCTCCATTGTCAACCGATGACTCTGGGAAGGGTCACTGTTAATGAAGTGGAAGAGGATGTTGGATATTTTCTTAAAAAATCAGGATTAACAACTACATATTTAATAATTTTATAGTCACCAAAAAAAGCTTTGGGGGGGATTAAAAACCCATTTCAAGAAATGTGCCAAAGTATATATGTGGCTGAATTCCTGTCTTATATGAAAAAAAATGGTAAGAGATATTTTTAGGAAGATCGGCCTACTGTGAGAGATATGAATGAGATGAGGATTTAGTGTTTTGGCTTTTCTAAACATAAAGTGAGCTTGTTTGCTTTAACTTTTTCAGCGAATTATTGATTTCATACGATACTGCTCCATTCCTCTTTTGGTAAAATAACACACTTTAAAGATAGTGAAAGAGGTTCATCATTTCCTCCTGGAAAAAAAAAAGGTTCATAACAAATAATAGCGATGAAGATGATAATTAATAATAATAATAATATATGCTCTCGGAGAATACACTTTCTTGGTTAGGGGACCAAATAAAAACAACGAATATGACAATTTTATGGAGTATGGTAATGCATCAATTTCATCGGGGCCACGTGGCATTGCTTACCAAATCAACAACATTAGTGGAAAGACGTAATAATTAATAATCTGAAGCTCAATCCATGTGAACGATGAGAGAATAAAATTATACGAATATCATAATAATAACTTACAGAGCAAATAACTCATAGGAGTAATTAGTAATAAAAGGATTTATGATGGTCAATGGATGGGTGTTTAGGTGCAGCAATATTTGACATAGAATATGGGAGATGGTTAGAAGAAGACCAGCGGCACATGGAGGAGCTGCGGCGGAGCTTGGAGGCGGCGGTGCCGGACAATGAACTTAGAGTGATGGTGGAGAGTTATCTGAGACACTACGACGAGGTCTTTGAGCTGAAGGGAGTCGCGGCAAAATCAGATGTGTTTCATGTCATGAACGGAATGTGGACCACCCCCGCTGAGCGTTGCTTCTTCTGGATTGCCGGCTTCCGGCCCTCCGATCTCATTGGGGTACGTTACGCACAGACTAAAAAGCGCGCGCGCGCGCACACACGAGTAATAATTGAGTGATCGGTGTTGTGAGCAGATGTTGGTACAGCAGTTAGAGCCAGTGACGGAGCAGCAGATAGTGGGGATGTATGGGCTGAGGCAGTCGACGCAGCAAGCGGAGGAAGCTCTGACCCAAGGACTCGACCAGCTCCAGCATTCTCTCCTCCACACCGTCGTCGGAGGCCTCACCGTCGACGGCGTTCACCAGATGTTTCTCGCTATGACCAAGCTTTCCGATCTCGAAGATTTTATCCGCCAGGTACTCTACCTACTATACCTAGCTAGCTAGGGCTTCGTTTTCCTATACACGAGTATATTTGACTCCAAGGCAAAATCTACACATCTCAGCCTCAGGTGATATCTGTGTCAATGTTAACTATTTTTCTCACCTTTAATTTGACTTAAACGGGCCACATTTGAATCCCCCACCCACAAAAAATATCCATTGCGTACGCCCATTGTTTAGACTCAGACTGATGCAAGCTTACATACTAGAATTAAAGTGATAATGGAAACGTAACTTTCTGGTTTCCGTTCCATTCTGCACGTCTTTTGATATATCATTCCTTGACTTTATATGCATGTTTTGCGCCGCAATTCTTTGTGTTCTTGTGCTCCAGATGTCTACACACACACACACACACGCACACATATATTCATTTTGCCTAGCTACTAGTGTACCAACTACTCTCCTGAATAGCTCCTTTTCTCCAGTACACATCTATCCCAATTTTTACCTGCCTTTAGGTCTTTGATAATCATCATGGCTTGGCTTATTCCATGCGTGTGATATAAAAATTTCTAGCAACACAGTGTGAATATACGATTACATGTAATTTAATTTAGTGAATTTTGACCGACACGTCTGTTAAGAAGTATGGATATGAACACGTGAGTAATTATACAGATGTGATTTTCATTTTTTTAATAAGCTTTTGATCTGCTACATAGCGTGCCTTTATTCTCAGAATCCTTGTTTAGATTGGCAAGAGTTTTTGTTTATTGTGGATGTGAAACACATTGCTTTGCTGCTAGCTGGTCTTGCTCAAAATTTGAAAGTTGCTTTCTTTTCTCAATTTTAAATAGAGGTATTAATCAGAAGTTGGTATTGAAAGTGATGTGCTTAACTTGGACTTTTATATCAAGGTGTTAAAGGTCAACTTTCCCAAAAATGATTGCTAATTAATTATTTGTAGGATTATAGAAAAAATTATTATTTTCATAATGCATGGAGAAACAGTCCAAATTCATAGAGAAGACAATACAGATAGGCTGGAGTGTCAGCTACCCCCTTAATTTTAGAATTTTTCTCAAACATTTTTTTATGGTTTTTTTTCATTATTAGATTTTAGATAAAATGAGTGACATTTTGATATCTTATTTGCAAAGAATAGTTTAATTTTTAATTTTCTTACAATTTTTTAAACATTTGATACTTTAAGTTAAAAAGAAATCGAACCATTTAAAGTATTAAATCGTTAAAAAATCATTAAAAAATTAAAAAGTAAACCATTTTTTGTAAATAAAATATTAAAATATGACTCATTTTACGTAGAATTTATTGACACCAAAAAAATATTTGAGAAGAGTCCCAAAATTAAAAGGCATGTGGGGCGCAGCAAGCAAGGGCAACGCCCTATTTAAAATTGAGAAAAGAAACGGAAAAAGTTATATAGTGTTTAACGTTTAATAGTTGACTAATTTTAAATTGATTTGGTAAATTTTGAACTGACTCAATTATTCATGCATGTTCATGAATCGAAGGCTGATAATCTAAGACAGCAAACACTTCACCAATTGTGTCGACTACTGACAGTTCGTCAAGCAGCAAAATGTTTTCTCGTGATCGGAGAGTACTATGGTCGTCTTCGAGCTCTTAGTTCTCTTTGGGCATCACGACCACGAGAGTAAGATCTCCCATTATCAATTCTCATTCTTAATTAGGGTTCGGTCAATAAATGAAATAGCATTTCCTTATTAAACAAAATTAAAATAGACTACTTTCTTCTGTTTTGTATGATTTTCCTTTAGATTATAGGACCATATATCAGCTTTGAAGAAAACGAAGGATAATATTATTGTATTCTGTATTATTCTAACAGGTCCCTGATCAACGACGAGACATGCCACCAAATAGCAACGAACATGCCCATAGTTCATCAGTCGTCCCAGAATCATTTCTCGACTTTCTGATAACATACGAAACCATTAGCCTGAAAGTCGGTTTTTGTTGCAAGCCAGTGAAGATGGATATATATATATATATCAAAAGAAGAACATGTATTTCTATATATTTTGCTTCTTTTTCCAGCATTGAATTCACCCTTTTGCCACCTTGTTATATATAAATATATATATGTATGTTTGTAGATGTAGATCGAGTTTCATGTGTTTGACGACGAAGCTTCTGCTTTTGCTAAGGAAGAAGTACAATTTAAAGTTAAAGAATCCATGAGGAGCTGGCTGATGAGGTTAATTAGGTAGACAACTCATACGTATATAAAACTGATGCCATGATCTCTTATACGTATATGCTTTTGCTTGCTTTTCATATAAACCATAAATGGATATGTTGTGCGCAGAGAGATCTAGAGAGAGGCTGCGGCAACTTGCATTATTGCATTATATTTAGTGGTTGCAAGTGTGGTGTGATATAAAATAATTATACAAAAAAGTCAAATTAGAATTATGAGGGAATAAAAACGAACGCTGTCTCGTCGTGGTGGTCACTGCACTATTAACAAGTGTATAGTTTCGATTTATATATTCATAAACACACTATCAAATTAATACATGATTCAGTCACACATTAGGGTTATGTTATGTTATAAGGCACGATTCTTCGAGATGACAAGTTATGTACCATCTAATTATTTGCTTGCAAATGCTGGATCTGTTGAGATCATTTACATATTTGTTTAGCACGTACGGGTTTGTGATTTAGGTTTCTTGTTAAAGAAACTTATTTTATGTTTTTTTTTTGGTGCTATTACTTTTGGGTCCATTATGAATGATATATAGGAATTTAAATAACTGGGAAGGATAGGGATATATGATCCGGGTGTTATATTAATCATTCTAGCTTTTTATGAGAATATATAATGGAGGGATAAGTACAACGACAATGCAACATGACTTTATCTCTCTTTAATATTAGATTAGTGCATACGTCCCTTTAGTGACATAAATATAAGTGTAATGCTGCTCTTGTCATCACACATTTAATGCATGCATGGGGTTAATTGATATCTTCTTAAAATGTTTGCATATTTAAGGAGAAACATATAAATTTGCAGGCAAAACGTTTCTCCTTTTTCTGAAAAACAGAAAAGTCAATTCTCTTGTTCGGGATTTTCTTAAGTAGCTATATAGACTACGGGGGAAACAAATAGGAAGCTGAAAATGATCCCAAGTTAAAGAAGCAGTGGAAGACTAGAGCTTCCCTGTGAATATACAAGTTGCAGAGAGTACCTCCAATACAGTATGTAAATGAGGGGAAAAACAGAGAGACATATAAATCCTTTCAAGTTTAATTACTTTTGCAAGTGAGGGAAAGAGTAATTGATGTGGATAATAAAATGGTATAACTTTGTTTCTTTTCCTCTCTCTCTCTCTAAAGACGGGTCTGGCTGGAGAGTTTCTTCCCTTTGACATCAGTAAGGATCAGACAACTTATTCTGTTGTGCCCTTTCGAGGACTTGGGAGGACAGCAAGGGTTTGGTGCCTTTTTCCTTTGTTTTTTTTTTTTTTTTGGCATGAACTGGTTTGTGAAATTTTTAAATAAGAATGTGGGTTTGGTTTATGAAATTTTTTTCAATAAACATGTGGGTGGAATAAAGTTTGGTAGAATCATTTGTGTGTATTTAGTGTGTAATGAAAAATTATTAATGTTTTGTATTTGTTTGGACTATAATACCTCCTATTATAAAATATATTAAATATTTTTACTAATTTTTAATTATTGAAAATATTTCTACATCTATTCAATAAAAATAATAAAAAATCGAATTTAATTTGCTTAACTGGTAAAAATATTTTATTTTTAAATTAACTATCAGTTTGGCGGGAAGAGCAAGTATTAGAAATTTAAAGTTATTTTTATTTTACCTTTTTCATATTAAATGGATACCATCAAAGTGCAATTAGCCGCCCAATAAAAGCCCATACTCAGACAGAAATAGCGGACCAACACGGAATCAATGTTTTGTGGGACCTATGTGACCCAAGAGCCGAAAACAAAGTGGAAGTGGTTTAATGGAATCTGCACTATGCAAGGCATTAAATGCAAAACGAATCTGGCAAAAAAAAATTGCAAAATGAATCCAATATACTACCTCCGGTCCTTAATATAAGACCTATTTACTTTTGTGTTGGTCCTTAATATAATATCCAATCCATTTTGTTTCTCATATTTACTCAATTTTTTCCAAGATAATCCTTCTAATAATTATAGTTTTAGCCAACATACTTAATTAGTAAGAATATTTTAAGAAAGACAATACCTATTTATTACAAATAACCAACTTAACTTTTTTTATTAATTTCATCAAATTAGTCAATTGATTCTTATAATTAGGACCGAAGGTAGTATTAGCCAATGAAAAGTATTAATTTCAAGTCAGCAGAAGTAGCTGTGCATTTTTAAGAACACGAACATTCAAATTATTGTCGTTTTTGCTCTGCACTTACCATTGTGTCCCAAGATTTGGCATGTACATTTTTTTTTTGGGAAATTAGAGGAACATGTACACAATACTAATGGCTTGAGGTTGCAAAGAAAAAAGAATCTATAGCCTTTTAGGGAATTTTCATGCCAACTAAGGTACAAAATCATTGGCATCAAGTATAATTCTATTAGCAGAAGGTCTTGGGACTATTCACATAATCTCGGATAGGTCATCCATTGGTATTTGGAGGCCTATCAGATCATGATCTGCTAAATCATCGTCATCGTCGTCGATGTTCAACCAACTACCTATATCTTGATGCCCACCAAGATCACCGGATAGAACTGTTTTTTTTTTTTTTTTTAAATTGAATCTAACTCCGGAGGTTGCAAATTCCCAGATTCAGAGAATTGCTTCCCTTTAGATGTATCAGGGTTACCACATAATGCTGCCCTGTCTTCACCATTTTTGCCACCAGCATCATCCCCAGATTGACCTAAACTCCCTGGTTCCTTTGCTTCCAAGCTGGAAATGGCATTCTTTCCTGACTGATCCCTACTACAATTTCTGTCTCTCCGACTTCTCTTTCCCTTTACTCGAAAATTATAGCTTTTGTGGAAGAACCACCAACAAAAACACCAGGAGCCAGCATTTCTCTCCTCGATTATACTTGCTCAGAGAAGTGACTTAAACCTTGTAAGGAACCTGGTGGTCCAGTGCCTGCACAATCATCCATGTGGGAATCAAATTTCTCATAAGCACTAGAAAGTGCACCTGCAGCAGCAGATAAATCACAATTCGAGGAGGAAAAAAGAAAAAATCAAAGGAACTGACGATGACCAATCTCTTGTTTGGACACGTTGATACCTGCACCGCTTGAATTTTTGCTTCCAAGCATGCCTACTAAAATTTAAATCAATAAAAGCTTAATGTTTATGCAATGCCTCAAGTCCCCTGATTAAATTCAGCAGTCAACGGCCTTAATGTTTGAGGATCACGCAAATAAGAGCGCAAAAATGTGCTTCAGCTTTGCCATTCGCTCTCCTTCTCCCTCTCCCATGAAGCCTGCCCATAGGCACACTGGCAAGAAGGATTGGGAGGGGTTGCTGCCAAAATATATGTGTCTGATATCAGCCACCGTGAACGCACTATAAATTTCAAGTGACCCCGGCTAGCACCCCGTGGTTTCAACATGACTATGATATCCTGTGATCATTTACTAAACTTGAATAAATGCAGGAAATTGTCCGCAGAAGTATTAATTGCCAATATCTTCCTGTTAGCCGTCTCAATAAGTTGGTCAAACACAACTTGCACAATTTTCCTACACAGGAAGCAGTTTAATTTTATGATGCATTTGGATTATAAAACTTTATGTCAAGCAAATAAAAGAAAACAAAGAAATAGAGGAAGCAAAACATCCAAGGCATCATAAAAACATACAGCCTTGCTGGATCTCTTCCCCTTTTAATAAATCTATCAGTTGCGTCAAAATTCTTCTTCCTCACAATCTATCAGTCAATCAAAAAATAAATGAGTGGTAAACGAAGGAACAGAACTCAAGGCCCATAAAACACATTTAATGAAGTTAATTAAGAAATCACATTCCAGTTTGCATTAGATTGAATAAGGGTAATTTATTTAATAAACTCTTGCGGTGCAAACCTGTTGGCACAGCTTCTACTTGGGGACCACAGTATTTTGATCTTCTTCTTTTTTTTTTGGGTGAAACAGTATTTTGATTTTTAGCTTCGACTACCTCCGTCAAACCAGGCCGTAAAGATAGAAGCTCCAAAGTGTAATCCTTGTCATGAATCAGCAAAGCTTTAATAAACTGTTACATTAATAATCCAGTAGAAGAAATGAAATCCTACCAATATTTCTGGATACAAGCCAATACTGTGCAACTCAAGCAGAAGTCTATCATGCAGACTTACACGTTGGTAATCGTTAGCCATAGGAAAGCCACCGCCATTTAATTCAGCAGGTTGCAGTTGATCAAGATCATTTGAACGTGTTTCCCTGTTATGTGAGAAATCAGAATGGGAAAAATTCATCTCCCTGCCACAATTAGTGTTTCGTAAGGAAGTGAATGTGTTCGCGTACCTAAATGGGTTAGACGCAATACTCTCATTGCAAGAAAGCCCATCCAGTGGGCAGTTCTTCTGACTCGACTTCAAAATTGTTTTATCAAGGTATCTAGGTTCAAAATCAAATTGATTACGAGGATCACAATGAGAATCATCACTGGCACACGTCTGAGATACAGTCATTTCTTCACTGAGGAGGTATGATTCTTCACTTCCATCTTCTGAAATTGTAGCAGAACAAAGTAATTTGAACAAAGGGATGGCATTATCCAGCCTTTCCCCAATACACTTTCCAGTTAAAGCATCAGTCTTAGATCCTTTTCCATCACAGCAGCTTCTTTGTCTTTCCTATGAACAATGAGTAGCTTCAACGTTTATAATATCATCCTGAAAAATATTTATAATTAATCAGTATCTTAAAAATAATTTATCTCATTTCTGAGTCGTCTCGCTTCTTGCTTAGAAATTTGGAAGAGCTGAGGTATCCAGATCAACAATGTCGATAAGTGGTATGAACGAGAAAGCGATTACCATAATGTGATCAATGTTTTATCAAGTTCCTCTGCGACAGTCGTCTGCTTCGGTAACCAAAATCCCAACAAGAAGCAAGTTAGAATA